GAGTTTCTGTGCGAACGTTACCGTTTCTCAGCACAATCTATAAGTTATTTGAATAACATCCTCAGGCCATATATTACGCATGTGCACATCGCGGACATGCTCTCAGTTCTGATCTAATATTAAAAACATTATGTTAAGTCACAATCACAACAGGCTGTTTTAGAAATCTGTGGAACAAATGATCTGCCATGTTCTCCATGTGAACATGGAGTGTGTGTGTTTTTCATTTGTTTATGGTTAACAGATGGGTTATATACATTGTGACAACAGTCAGCTCATCTTCATTGTGCTCCTGTATTGCAGTGTAGTTAAGCTTCAGGTCATTTGTGTGATACAGCTAAGATGTTGTGCTGTGACTTGTGTAAGTGCACAGGTGTATATTTGTACACGTGTGTGCGTTTGTGTGTTTCATGTGTGCTAATGCTCTTTCTTCACCTCCAAGCTTGGAGTTATTGCAGTGTCATGGGGTCACATTCTCGCTGGTGTGATACTGCACTCAGGCAAAATGCTTAGCCAAACAATCGACTTCTGTGTGATTATTAATGGTGTTATTGCTGCTCAAGGGTCTTTAAAAGGAAGTTATTGTGATGTGAGATATGGCGCTGCAGTTTCCATATCAAAAGTCTTTCTCCACCAGCACAAACAAGTCAAGTTTCTAAACCATATATTATTCCCTGTTGTTAGACTGTCTGGGCAGAGTGCTTTCATTCTTTTTCTTTCTCTGCCTTTCTTTTCTTTCTGTCTTCTTCTCCAGGGAGACATTTTTTCCTTTGTTTTTTTAGGGCTGGGCTAGGGTGGAGAACGCTAGTGTTGCTGGCGTTTAACAGGGCAGCACATCCATGCCAAAAAGTGAGTTCACCAAACTGCTGTTTCCCCAGAGGAGATGCAATAAGATTTCTGCTAGAGGCCCAGCCAGACACTTGACTTATAGATGAAAAAGGAGACGTGGGGAGGATGAACAACAAGGATTAGGGGTGAAGATGAGGGTGTGTTTGGGGTGAAGAAAAGGAAACTTGGTTTGCTCAACAAAAATGAATTTCAGATAACACAAACTGGATATTTTTTCATCTGAACATTAACAGGTGGATGGGGAACTGTGGTTTGGCTTGAGAAAGGAAAACCTCATGAATGAAAGTGTCAGGTCCCAGAACTTTGAATAATTTATAATTGATTATTTTGTTTTTAAGTGTTTATATTTCATCTTTTCGACCCAAAATGCCTCATTTCTTCTAATGTTTCAAGGATGAAGAGTTGGCTTGGCTCAGTTATTAACATAAGAATTTCGCCAATATTATGTTTTCAGTGTTAGTCAGTGTTGGTCAAGTTACTTGAAAAAGTAATCAGTAACTAATTACTGATTACTTCCCCAAAAAAGTAATCCCATTCCTTTACTGATTACTTATTTTCAAAAGTAATTAATTACTTAGTTATTTAGTTACTTTTTAAAAACACGATTTACAACCTGAAGAGGTGATAAAGCGATAGATCTTTCAGCCCAATTCTACTTTTTCTACATAATCCATCATACAAAATGTAATCAGATGAAAAGTCTCTTTTTAAAACTTGTTTTATTAGTTTTAATCTTTTAACTTTATGCATCAAGCAAATATTTAATTATATGCAACATTTTCTGACTGGAAGAAATTTGTTTAATATTTAAACCTATTTTCTGCACATTCCAGCACATAAAATATTTTTTTTTTGTGTTTACACTCAGTCTTTCAAATAGATGCAAGTAAAACACAGCAGAAATAGCGGTCCTGTTGCTCTATTTTCACCTGTAAAGCAGGAGTGGCGGTAGGCGAGGTTTACCCTGGTGCAGGTGTGCCGCAGTGCGTCTGAAGAATCCGCGAGTTTCTCTGTGAGTTTCCCATTACGTCGTTGCGCACTCGGTGCTTGCTTGGAAGTTTAGGGGTTTTTTCGCTGTAAAAAGAAGTTTTCTTCCCACGCACAACGGACACTAATGTTTTTGTCACTTTTTATGGAATCAAACTCAAAGTAAGGTCAGTACTTCCACGCTTTAAACGCTGCACGCTCATACTCTCTCCTGCACTCGATATATGATCCATTGTTGATCTGCACACAGCTGTTGTCACTAACGGCGCACTCGCTTACGTCACTGTCATGAGACATTCTCGCAAAAAAATCACGGTTTTAGTAACGCAGTAACGCAGCTTCCTACGGGAAAGTAACGGTAATCTAATTACCGTTTTTGCAATAGTAATCCCTTACTTTACTCGTTACTTGAAAAAAGTAATCAGATTACAGTAACGCGTTACTGCCCATCTCTGGTGTTAGTGACGTGTTAAACGTTTTACGAGCATTGACACTAGGGCTGCACGATTAATCGTTAGAAAATCGCGATCTCGATTCATACTTATGTGCGATCTCATTTCCAAATGACAACGATTTAAAAAAAAAAAAAAAGACGACGACGATTGTACCGCATTTTGATCCGGGACGTACTCTGCATGAAAACAAGCGCTCACTCTTCCTGCTCAACAAATGACAAATAAAAACAAATTAAGCCTACGTGAAAGTGGCAAAAACTGCAGTCCTTTGAGGTGCTTTTTGAGGCTGGCTTCAGTCAATTTCCATAGACTCCGATGTTAAAATGCCTATCTTTGCAGCAGTGAAAAGCAAAAGTACAAAAGTGATGTTGTACTTCCTCCCCTTCATAACAAACCCGAATGGGCTAAAAAGTTATTTTTATAACTACCTGTATCTGTTGGATCCTTTTGGAGCATTTTAGAAGGGATTATTTGACTAATATTTTAGCTTGCTATGGAGATACAGACCATCACACAAGTTTATACTTTGGCTTCAGTGAGTGACTTTTAGCATATATGTGTGTTTGTATGTTTGAGTCACGATTTCTACTGTCTTACCAGAGAAAGGGAAAAAAAATCAGAACAGCCCAGGTTTAAGTCCAAGTCGAGCCCCTTTGCTACAACTCTTCCCCACTCCCTCCCAGCTTTCCTCTCCACTCAACACTAGAGATACTAGAATATAAAAATGACGAGCAGGATACTAATAACAGATTGGCTTTTTCTTGGCATCTTAATTCACTAATAGACATGTACAACCAAAATTCAATAGTGCTCTTTCATTACAGAAATGCCATAATTATGACCAACGCTGTGATGTTGGACGGTGCACTGTCATGTTGTAGTGACACACACTTTCTGTGCTTTGAGAGCATGAGCCAAGTCCTTTTTATGTCCCAGGTTGCTACAGTAATGGGTGCTTACATCAATGCAGCCCTGACACCTGATTGGGCCGGCTGTAACCTATGGCCCATAGTACATAGACTTAGACTGCACTTATGATGTTTCTCCCATCTATAACTGGAAAATCGGCAATACCATCAGTAAAGAAAATAAAAAGGGAAATCAACGAGGTTTTCCATAAGTGTGCAGCCATAGCAGCCAGGCTTGGTCTTTTTTAAAAGTGCTTTCAGGGACGCTTAGAGTGTGGCCTTATAAGGTCTTTACAACTTGACAACATGTCATGCAGTTTCAGTTTCTCTGGCTTGTATTCTGTGTAGGCTGCTTATTAAACTGAGGCTCTAGAAGAAACATTAATAAGCTATGCTACACTCACCTGGGTCATATTAGTGATTTAAAAGAAGGGTTATGTTTTTAAAGCGTTATGAAAACATCTATATTACTACTTATGTGACATCACCAACATCAAAATAGAGAACCTCAGAATCCATTAAACAAGGACACACTCATCAAAAAGCTGTTCCACAGAAGTCGTAGCACTCCATGGGGAACTTTCAAAAACTCCCAACTCCACAGCAATGGAAAAAATATATGTACATTGACGTATGCCGGCCACTAAGCTATTTGTTCCAGTGTTAAACCACATTATCAGATTTGATGTTTGTAGCCACAGTGCTGTTTTAGTACGAGGTGAAACGTCTGAGAAGTGCGACGCAGCCAAGATGGATCACGTCAGGCTGCGCAGTTGATCCCTCACCCTGTTGACTAGATTTGTGGGACTGTGCAGTGCCAACGAGAACACGTCCAAACAAAGCACGTCTCACCCCCACCCTTCAGCTTCACTGCTCATGAGCTCTGCAGTATAATGGCATGAAAATATTTTAACTCCATTTAAGACCACAGTTAATCATTGTGGAATTATGTCAGTATCTTTCTGTTGGTATAATTTCAGCCATTTTTAGTGTCTTTAACACAACTTCGGATTTGATTTCTTTAACCGACACTTTCTTGTTTTCTCTTTCAGACACTGTCTAATTATATTGTCTCATCTTTCTACCTAATATTTTCTGATTTTGACCTGAAAAGTGAAAGACTCCTCAGCAAAACAACGGCAACCACTGTGCCTCTGTTTTGCTCTGTTAGTGTCTATTAAGCGACACTTAGTAATGAAGTAGGCTCAATGCTGCACTGATAACATTGTTAATGGCTTCCTCTAAGTTGTCTTGGACCAGAACAATATCTCCTTCTTCATGTTACAGCAGCTAATTACTTCCTTTTTGTAGTTCTGACAGTGATTAAAGGCAGATGGGGAGATTAATCATTTTGAATTATCGTCACCACCTTTAAAGACTGAAGACAAAAGATCATGGCTGGTATCCTTAATTCCCCTTTGTGTTTGAGGCATGATGGATCGAGTTTTGTATGAATGAGAATGTATGAAAATATTGATACATTTGAATGTAAAACTGGTCTTTTATCTCCTCTCATTATTGATGATGAGAGGAAATAAAGGAAATAATCCCAGGAATAGTGTATAGCATTTTTGTTTGAAAAAACATCTCTGCACAGAAGAGCCAGGCGTCATGAATGAAAGCAATTGATGTGCCTGGTGAGTGTTAATGTAGAGGGCTGTTGTTTTGTCAGTTGAATTGCAAGTGCTGAAATGATTGAAGGTTCTAGACCAGATCAGTTCAGTGCCATGTTTCAAAGCAGCTAAAATGTCATTTGAAGTTTCATTATTAAAAGTAGAGGAAACCTGTGTTCACTCTGCAGACTCCAAATAACGGGCCCCCTCCCCTGCCCAGCTCATCTCTTCCAGAAGGCTACTATGAGGAAGCGGTTCCTTTAGGTCCTGGAAAGGCTCCAGAATACATCACCTCCAGTAAGTGACAAGCTAATGTATAAAACACATCAATCATGTAACAGTAGTTATGTTACAGACTTCTGAAGAAAAAAGTGAGTGTGTCCCAAGTTTTTGCGTTACCTGATTTGAATATAAAATGAAGGGCAGTCTATTCATGCCCTCTCAGACTATGACTCGGATGCCATGAGCAGTTCCTATGAGTCGTACGATGAGGAAGAGGAGGATGGGAAGAGCCAGAAGATGCGTCACCAGTGGCCCTCTGAGGAAGCGTCCATGGACCTCGTGAAGGACGCCCGGATTTGTGCATTCCTGCTGCGCAAGAAGCGCTTCGGCCAGTGGACCAAACTCCTATGTGTCATCAAAGACAACAAACTGCTGGTGAGAAAAACTCAGGCATGTTACTGTCTGTGTACGTACAAATGGTGAGCATAAACTGCACTACAAACAGAATCTTTCTCTCCATGCAGTGTTACAAATCCTCCAAAGACCACACTCCCCAAATGGAGCTGAACCTGTCAGTGTGCAGCATCACACACATCCCTAAAGATGGCAAGAAAAAGAAGCACGAACTAAAGATTGTCCACCAAGGTGCAGACGCCCTGGTGCTGGCTGTGCAGAGCAAAGAACAGGCCGAGGAGTGGCTTAAGGTACATCAATAAATCTCAAAACTACTGCTTTTACCATCACACTGGATAGAGACGGTGTTTGTTTGAACTCTTTTTCCCATAAAGATGGAATTTGTACCAATAATGACGAGCTTTGACATCTTTATTGATATGTATCAATAAAGTTGTGGTTTGACGACCATTAGAATAGTTTCCGGATTTTTCAAGGGTGCACACCCAGTCTTTTTTTTTCTACTCAAACGACTCAGTTGAGAAGAGAACTTCAAAGGTTATGCCTGGCAGGCTTTTAAGGGGTAAAGAGTTAATCAGTAGATAAGAGCATTCTGTGTGGCCCAACTTTGAAGCTGACAAGAACACCAGTGCAGCATACTAGCTTTTCTTGGAGCTTTACTAGCTTTACTTGATTGCTGAACATCTAAAATATCTTGGGATCAGCCTTTAAGTTGCTTTCACATGTTTTAGAGAGTGGGTTCAAGTTACTTTTAAAGAATAAAGGGTGTAACTGTCTTGGCTTTCTTCCTCAGGATGGGCCTTTTCCTCGTATTGTATGACTGGTTTGTTGTGAACAGGTGGTTCTGCTGGTTTCTCTCTCATGTGGAGATGTTTGGTTTGCAGTCCTCTGAGTCCTTTCTTCTGCTTCTCTCTCACAGACTCCCCCCCTTCCTTCCCCTGTCTTCTCTTTCACTCTCTGATCTTTCCTTCTGGCAGCTCAACAAGTCCACAAAACAAACCCGCCCCGCTGACATCAAATAAGCTCCGGTACTGCTTTTCTATCCCTGCAACCATTTGTTGTTGGAGAGCACCTCTGTGCTCTGTCTGTTTCAGTTACATTGATGGTGGGTGTCATCTGGTCTTTTTGTTTTAAAAGGAAACCCCCACCCCACATTCTTCCCTCTCATCTCTGCTCCCTTCAGATCTCATATGTATCTCCTGAAATTTATGGTTTCTCAACAACCTATCGTGTGCTATTTTAAGATGCCTCCTAGCGCATTTGTGTGATGGTATTTTTTATAAACATTTGTGGCCTCCAGCAGTTCCAGTGGACTTTTAGACTTGAATATGTGATTTGTCTTCTTGTTTTCCTCCTTGTTAAGAAAACAATCCCTCAAGCATATTTTCCCCATGTACTGATGGAAACACCAGTCTTACTATATGCAGTGTTTCCTTTTGGTCTTTCTCTGGAAGTTTCAGCTGTAGCATGTTTATTGCAGTCAGGAAACAAAGACCCAAACAGTTTGGATTTTTTCTTCTTGATTCAATTACTTGCTCGGCATGGTAATTAGATGTTGTTTATTGATTGGCTGGTGCAGGTAACCTCATCGGGGGGCTGAAGTATCTGCAGGCGGTTTCAACCAGACCCATGAAAATATACAAATCCCTCAACCATCCGAGTGATGGTAATGAGTGCACAAATTGTTGCTTGGAGAAACTGGGTCTGGACACATATTTAGTCAGGTGTCGGGATTGTGGAAACAAATTGAACTGATAGTGCCGTGGCAGGTATTTTGTAACTCTAGCAATTGCTCTGGGATTTTTTGTTTACTTAATTGATGCACATGTAGTTCGTCATGCCACTACAGTTGGCTTTGTTACATGCAGGGTTACGTTCCTTGGCTGGTCTGTGTTCCCTTCAGCTGTGGGGTGTGTAAGAGTGGCATCAAGTCACACAAAGTGGATATGTCCCAGTGTGTCTGCTGCCCCCCTCCCTCTTTGTCTCTTTGTGGTTGCCACAACTGAACATGCAGACTACAATTCAAAACTGCTGGACAGGACAGGTTATTAAAAGAAGAAGGAAAAAATAGTAATTGAGACTGTTTTTGGATATTTTAAGTATTCGTTGTTCCCCCTTAAATTTATTTTTGTCTCTTGAGCTTTGTGTTTTTTGTCCACCTCTCACAAGCTCATCTTTTACCCAGAGAGACATTGAGCTTCAGTAACAGTCATTCTTGAATATTATCGATCTGAATCAAAGAAGTTCAAATTTATTTGGATATTTTTCCCCCACTGGCCAACAGTGAAATAGAAGTCAGCATGAAGTCAGCATGTGAAATAGAAGTCATCGGATTCAACAGAAGGAGCAGCTCTGCTTTGCTCCACAAAAGAAGGAGAGGAAAGAAATGAAAGAAAGCAGGGTGAAGGGAAAGCTGGGAGAGTACCTGAGGCTTTCCAAAGCCCATAGTTTACAATAATGACTCTCCCAGACCCTGTAGGCTAACGATGTGTTTATGGAGCACACATGTCCATATTGTGTCATTGCTTCATTTTCCTTTTCAGTGTTTTTTAATTGTATGGATTCCCCACGCCCTAACTCCTTCTTTGTCTTCATCTTTGCCTGCTGATATAGTCTGACCTCATTTCTTTGTCTCGCTGACTGACTAACTTCTCTTTTCTTTTCTTTGCCTGCATAAATTTTGGGGGAAGTAAGTGGAATGTGCAGTGTTAGTCACAGCTTATCTGCTCAAGTTTCCATTACAGTCCAACCCCTTGTGCAAACTCCTTGACAGTGTATGGTTGTCCTGTGCATGGCAATGCCTTCATCACTTTCAAGATAAGCATTTACAATACATTTATAGCTTGAGCTGTAATGCAACTATTCCAGCATGAGCCTTTAAAATAGGCCTCAATGAATTGTAAAAAAAACCAAAAACCAAAAAAACCAAACAAACCCTGAGACAGACAGATTAGTTTATTTTTAGTTTTGTTTTTGTTTTTTTGCATCAATTGGATAAGTGCTGCCAAAAGCAATCACTCAGAAAACAAAAGGTTTGTGTTGGTTGATTATATCATTTTTTTCTTTTATCTTTTGCCAGACAAACAAACAGACAGACAGACAGAAAACTTTATTTCAAATCCCTTTTAACAGGAAGAGAACCAGGGTCATGGAGGGACAGCCATTTGTAGGTTTGCAGACATTGTAAAGAATGGGTTTCACGTCTATTAAATGCTTCAAGTTGCTTCATCTGTAAAGAAATCAAGCTGTTTTTATACCATAAAATTGCAAAATGTGCACTGCAAGGAGGTGAACAAGCAATGAGCAACAAGTCATCAGTCAACACTATTTTCTTTTTTATTGCAAGTTGTGTTTCAGCACCCATAGTTATAGCCTCCAGTCTCACCACCTCCTCCTCTTTTTGATTTGTAGTGCATTATCAGACCTACGTAGTACACTGGCATGGCAGCAAAAGCCCTCCGAAGGAAAGATAGACATGATGTTGCTGTCTATCCCATTCTCTGGCCTCTTAGCTGCTCTCAGAGCCAAACCCATGGAGCCACAGCCTGTCATTTCCCCCACGAAACCCAGTTATGCTCCTTCCAAGCCAAAACCAATGAGTTGAGGAGCCCAGCGCAGCCAGAGATGGTTCAGACGAGTGGGAGTTTGTGTGTGTGTGTGTGTGTGTGTGTGTGTGTGTGTGTGTGTGTGTGTGTGAAGTGTGGTGTGTGTGTGTGTGTGTGTTCTGCATGTGTGTCAGGGAGTGCATTAGCCAACTTGCGCACACAGCGGTTCAACTGAAATCTCATTTTGCTATACCCACTGTTCATCTGCACTCTCTGTCACTGCCACATGTCTGGGATTGCCAGATCCCATGGTGGGTTGCCAGGTCAGACATCCAATGAGGTCATGGTAAAGCACGCTGGCGCCCTATTCACAGCTCTGCAGATCTCATTCACCCCTACTGGACCTTATTGTGTATGGATTCCATGAATGCAGGCAAAGTCTTTGTGTCTCATGTTTGTTACAGACCTGCCAACCCCCACCCCACCACCAACTACTGCCACACACCACATGCATGCATGCTCTCCCTCCTGCAGTTCATGCACTGCTTGTTGCTCCCTTGGCTGTGATTCAGTAGCATGATGAGATGTGAGAGAGTTCACCATACATGTGGCCTGCATTACCCCAGTCAAACCTTCTAGACTGAAGGAATGAGCTTCTTAATCATGTGGCAATTCAGCGAGGAAATATTTTAGGATTTTTAAATTAGGAATCCACCCACATGGTATGATCAGCAGTCAGGAGCCGTTACAGATGGCGGCATCTGATCTCCCACAGCGGCAATCAAATGTGTGACTGTGGACTTGTTTAATGTGAATGGCAGCCACGTTAGCTAATGGCGTATTTCCTTGTGGTGTTCCTAGGTGATGAGAGAGGTGTGTGTTAATGGGAGCATAGATTTGGATGGAGTTGGATCTGGATCTCCAGTGCATAAACCTGAACTGGAAAAGGTAAACAGAACACACTCACACTGATAGATGATAGTCATTTTAACAGCTTGTTGTATTTTGTTATTAAGCGTTGCTTTTGTAGGGTTTGAATCAGGTTTCAGGTTGGTAGAAGATTTGCGATTTGCGGTTTTATATATCTATCTATCTATCTATCTAGCTATCTATCTATCTATCTATCTATCTATCTATCTATCTATCTATCTATCTATCTATCTATCTATCTATATATATATATATCTATCTATCTATAATAAAATATTATATACTATATAATATATATATATATATTGTGCGTGATGTCATTCAGATGGTACCTTAATTTATTAGCCTTGGCTTACTATTATTTGTGCAATAGATAACTTCATGGAATAGCAGTGTTTTGAATCAAATATCTGTCTTCCCACTGTAATTAACACCAGTTTAGTTTAATAAAATGTGCTTCCAGTGTCAATAAAAGGTTACACGTACTTAATCTGTTAAACCAGGATTTGTTGCTGTTTTTTGAAGCAGACACTTGCTTCTTATGAGCAATTTTCTTTTTTTTCTGTTAACACACTACTGCCTTTCCAATGAACACAGGAAGGAGAAAGATGACATAAGGCTATTGGCCTTAGCCAATAAATTTTCAAACGTCAATAATAGATTATTTGGTTCCAAAACTCCTTAGATGAATGTATTCTTGTAGACATAACCTTGTATTTTCAAAATCACAGTATGTTTTCAGGCGGTGTCTAAAAACATTTACTTCTATATGGCACAGACAGGAAATTTGGATTTCATGGGAAAAAGCAGGTAAAATCACTGTGGACAAACTGCACTCGGCACATGTATGTGTGCCTGACAAACCTCTTCCAACTTGGCATGGCAAACGTAAGCCCAGCCTAATCTCATCTGTAACATGTTGCAGATGTTACTGCAGTGTAATTAGCTGTGTTGATTAGCTTCTTGACTTGTCTGTCCTCAGGAAAGTACAGTTTTGTTCACTATGTACCTTCCTGTACACCCATTCTTTTCTTTCTTCTTCTTTTTTTCTCTGTGGTTGTCCTGCCTCCAGAAGACATCGTGTGACAGGCCAAGCTCAGATGGGGAAGCAACCCATGAGAACGGTCACAGCGACTGCAAGGACCAAGGTGAGAGTCACAACGACAGTTGCTACCAGAAATAAATCATTTTCATCCATTTTAGTTTGTGCTTAAAACAAAAAGGTCTGAACAATCTCTGTGTTATGAGTAACAACAACTACAACAACTGCAATTCTGGATCTCTGGTCAAGGTGAATGAAGACCAGTAGTTGCCCTTTATGGTGCCAAACAGAAAGTATCTTTTCATCTGGATGCCATGGATTAAATAAAATCAGCTTTGAGCTTGCATGTCAACAGATCCATGACAGATGAACAATCTAATGAAGACTGTGTGATTGAGCTAAAAGCTTGTTTTCATAGTGCCATTCCGATCACATTGCATTCACATAGTACCTTTAATCATAGCCCCATGGCACAGTACAACATCAATAATAAAATTCAGTGAGGGACAGGAGTTATTAAAACTGGTGTTTCTTGGAACCGTAAAGAATTGTTCTCAGGCTGAATGGCTGTCTTTCTCACGTAATCTCCCTCATAATTCAGAGAGGAATCTCTGCAAGCTGTGGAAAGGTCAGCCTTTATTGAAGGCTGAAGAATGAGCATTTGGATTTATTTAACATGCTTTTACATGGGGATGGTCTTTCCTCACTCAACTAAAAGCCAAAACAAAGAGATACCGTTGAAATATTCTCAGATTATTTACCGTGTGTTTTCTCAGCTGGCAAAATTCTTCTGGGAGAGAAAACTCATTTTACTTGTCAGCTCAGTTATTTGGATTGTCAACTAAAATTTAACACTCTTGTTTTTTTGCTCTGTTTAGATTGGTGAATTTTTCCAGAATTGTATCTGAAACAAATTTCCCACCAGCAGTTGATTTAAAGTCTAACAACCAATTGGGTTTCGAGATTTGAAAACATTTGGTTGTGCAAGACATTTTTCTGTGTTGCTTCCATGAAATTATGAGATCTGGGCCCTGTTTCAGGAAGCCGGTTTAGTGGAAAATCTGAGTAAGTATACCCTGAGTTAACGAAAACTCTGGGTTTTCGGTTTCACAAAGC